GTTTGCAAGCAGGCGACCCTCAGAGGAAGCGCACCGTCTTTCTCTCTCTCACCCCCCCCCGACCGCCTGCCCGCCCCTGGCGCAGCCCGAGACCCTTCAAGGACTTCTGCAGAATGTTGCTCGAGGAAACTCAGTTGCTCCAGCAGGGCGAACCCCTCTTGTGGCATATATAGATTAGTGCATGGCACTAATAAGGCGGTGTATAAATTTAAGAAATAAATACATTTTTTTTTCAAAAAAGTCTCTCCTTTGAGATTTCCCGTGGAGGCGCGTCGCCACGTCGAGAAGCAAAACTCGGGTCAATCTCCCCCAACGTTTTCTTAAGGCAAAACAGGCATTGCCAGGCAACCTGACCCATGCCCTGCGAAACACCCAAGGTGGACAACCGAAGACGCTTTTGAGAGGAATCCTACTAGACTGGGTTTGGGCCTCCTAGGAGCGCTCTCGCTTCCTTCTTGTCTTGCAAGTATGCAGATACATTGTGCGCATGGTGGCGGGTAAGGCATCAGCAGAAATAGCGGAGGGGGGGGGCACCGCCCGTACCCAGGGGTTGTTGAGCTGACTGTACGTTTTTCCTAGCAAGTTCAGGGCGGGAGAAACTAGCGTCCTCGCTTGCGGATACCCAGGGTGTTGGGGTAATTGTGGTGGGTATTTTTTTTTTGAAGTTAAAAAAAAACTATCCATCTATAGAGTGGACAGACGCAACCGACAGGGCTGCCCTGCCATTCAATTCTTCCTGAATTTCTGGGCTTACAATGACTCCACTGTCAAGACGTACGTCCAGACCGCTGGAGCGGCCCCAAAGACAAAAGGAAGTTAGGATGGGGGGGAAGAATCCTGTGTTAACCGAGGGGGGATAACGAACACTTTGGTCATCTAGAATCGCATTACAGGGATATCCAGTATACAGGAAAGCCTGCCCCCCCCCGTCTTATGTTAAAAATGTAAACTTTGAGGGCTTCCTTAGGCAGCAGAGCTTGATTTATGGTATATCTTAGCCACGTGCCTAAAAGAGAATTCAGATATGCTTTTTTTCTGAGAAGAGGAATTCATAGCAGAGGCAGCAGACCCGTTCATGAATCCTTTTGTCCTTTCTTTTAGGGGAAAAATGTCTGCATGCCTTTCACTTCCCACCCCCACAAACCTCAGGTTACATGGGTAGCTCCTTCTTTTGCAATCAAAAGCACTTCACCAATTGATTTTCACAGCACTATTATTTAAGGACAGAGAAACTACAGCTGCAGTTCCATAACCACTTAGGTGATTCAAAGTATTT